AGGGGCTGCTTTTCCCCTCGCTCAGCACCAGTTCATTCCCTGCCATGGAGCAGGGTGTCGGGACTGCATGCTCGTGTACCACGGGGCTGGGGGGGCACTGTGAATGAGCAGGTGCATGGGTCCCACACTGGTGTCCGAGGGCTAGTGCCAGTGGGGCCCAGAGCAGGGCGGCAGGAGTACAGGGTCCCAGCCAGCAGGGGCTCTATGGAGCCAGGCCAGCTCCCCCCTCTCCCTGCTGGTGCAGCCCAACCTGACTCCACAGACCCCTGCCGGCCTGTGCCCCACTCTGGCCCCCACTGGCACTGGCCCTGAGACATTGGTCCCAAGATGGTGACCAGAGGGCAGGGCACCTGTCAAGGGGCAGGGCTACCCATGTGGCCCTCAACAGTTTGCCAAAACTGGGTAAGCGGCTCTCTGCCCGAAATAATTGCCCACCCCGATCTAGATCTATATATATAGATATACAGTAAAAGCTTTGTTATCCATTACCCACAGGGAATGGAGGGTGCCAGATAACAAAATATGCCGGATAACTGAGCAGCCCAAACAGGCGTCTTTGCCTGTTCGGGCCGCCGCCTGTCTCTCTGCGTCTGGGGTGTTGCTGCCCCTCCTGCCACATTGCTGCCCCTCCTGCTGCATCATTGCCCCTCCCACGGGCCCCATAGGACCCAAGGGACAGGGAGGGGGGATCCACGCAGCCTGCTTTGCCCCCGGGCCATGGGGCTTGGCAGCGCAGGCTGCTTTTTCTGGGCTATGGGGGCTCCGTGAAACCGGAAGTGCCACAGTGGACACTTCCAGTTTCACTTTTCCCTTACAAGCCCTTACAAGCCAGCATGCTGGTTAACAGAGCATGTCAGCTTGTAAGGTGCTGGTTAACACAGCTTTTGCTGTATATATGTATATATACACATATATATCTACATATATGTACGTGCGTGCGCGCGCGCACACACACACACACACACACACACACACATATATATATGTAAGGTGAAATCAGTTCCAAAATTCAATTGAGCAGAGCTCAATCGTCAAGTCTGTGAGGTCCTACCACTGGGCAAATATACTCCCCCACAGATCAGCTGGTCTGGGGCTTTGGATACTTCCCAAATCCAGGCAGGAATCCTACATGCAACCCCCAGGCTCAGAGGCTTTGGGGTTCAGATGCCCCCT